AAAAAAAAAAAAACTCCTGGGTTTGAGCCATCCTCTTGCCTCAGGCTCCAAAGGTGCATGCCACCACGCCTGGCTAATTTTTTTTTTTTTTTTTTTTGTGGTAGAGATGGGAGTGTCTCTACTTTGCCTAGGCTGTAGGACTTTGAATATATGGGTTTTATGCTCATTTTGTCTTTTTCTTTTTCAGCTCAAATTAAGGAAAAGTTATATCCTTCCTTGTGTAAGCAACATCTACTTGTGCAAGAGATCAGTCATGCAGCCGCCGCCCCAGGCAGTCCCATCTGGTGTGGCTGGACCACCTCCGGCCGGGAATCCTCAGAGCATGTTCTGGGCTAACAGCCCTTACAGAAGACGGACCAATAATAACGTACCAGTGGCTCCGATAACTTGCCCCTTGCAGCCAGTAACGGATCCGTTTGCTTTTAGTAGGCAGGCCCTCCAAAATACACCGCTGGGCAGTTTGTCCAAAAGCAGCCCACCCATCTTGCAAAGCTCAGCACCACCAGGGTTTCCTCAGTGCCCTGGTTTGCCTGTGCCTCACACAGATGCCAGGGATAGCTCCCAAGGACCCTGTGAGCCTCTGCCGAGACCTCTGTCACAGCCCAGAGCAGATGCCAGTTCATTTTCTGGTGCATTGACACCTTCAGCGCTGCCCAGGGCTGAGACGATCAGGAGTGCAGAGGTCCGTCCCGGCTCAGAGCCTGGAGTTCAGGCTCCACCGTATCTGCCCCACTACATTCCAGGAGTGGGTCCTGACACATCTCAGGGGACCCATCTGCATGGGAACCTGCCTGGGCCCGACCAACCCCTGAGTAGGCAAAACCCGCCTGATGGTGTGGTAGCCCCAGCAGCATCCCCCTTCTCCCCGCAGCCTTGTCAACAGATGCTGGGTCAGTGGGGCCCAGTGCAGGCAAGCCCACAGCCCTCAGGTCAGCATTACTCGCCCTGCCCGGAAGGACCTGTTCAGAGCGCAGCGCCCCATGCCACCAGCGTTCCCCATCTCCCCCCTTCATCCAGCCCACATCAGGGTGTTGGCCATGAGCAACAGAACCAACTGGTGTCTCTTTCAGCACCCTTGGCCAGTGACAGAAGAAGCGAGGTGGCCCATCCGCAAAGTGGAAGCTACTCAGCAAATAACTTTGATCCTGAAAATACGTTCAGGCAAAACCCCAGAGTTGGGAATACCTGGGCAAGCCAGGAGTTCAGGCAGAATCCAGGAGTGACTAAAGAGCACTGGCCAGCTCCCACTCTTGTGAGCCCCGTCACTCAGGGAGGTCACCCAGAAAACCACGTGCACTACGCCCCAAGGACTGGGGCCAGCCTCTCCCTTCCAGATACAGACTCAGGAGCTCTCTCAATGTTTTTCCAAGGGGGAGAGACAGAAAATGAGGAGAATCTCTCATCTGAAAAAGCAGGCTCTGCTGGTAAATCAGACTTTGATGGTTTCTCCTCCAGCCCTGGACTGGGCCATCCACCCCCACTTGTGCACATGGCAGCAGGTGGCATCTGCCAGGGCTTTCTCAAAGGCTCCAACATTGAGACGACACAGCAGGGTGGGGATGCACACCTTTATTTTTCTCAGTCTGTAGGCATTCAACACGATCAGCAAACTACCAGAAACGCTGCTAGTGACATGTGGGGTGACACAGCGAGTGCAGGGACTCAAGGTGCCAGCAGTTCACAGTGTGAGAATATTGAGAACTTAGAATTCGTTCAGAATCAAGAAGTTCTGCCAAGCGAGTCCCTAAATTTGGATCCTTCGTCTCCAGGTGATCAGTTCAGATACGGGGTCCTTCCTGGGCCAGCTGTCCCCAGGCACAATGTTGTGGGCCACACCGGAGCCCCTGAAGCAGCGATGCATCCTGCGAGGTCTGATAGTGTGTCATCCAGCTACAGCAGCAAAAGCCACAGGAATCTTTCGAGTTCAACCAGGCCCCAGGAACTAGTTGGCACATTTATTCAGCAAGAAGTTGGAAAACCTGAAGATGAAGTTTCAGGTAGTTTTTTTAAGCAAATCGATTCCTCTCCCGTAGGAGGTGAAACAGATGAGAGCACCGTGAGCCAGAACTACCATAGCAGCGTGTCCCAGCCCTCAACTCCAAGCCCCCCAAAACCTACAGGAATATTTCAGACAAGTGCAAATAGTTCTTTTGAACCAGTAAAATCTCACTTAGTCGGGGTAAAACCAGTTGAGGTAGACCGTGCCAATGTGGTGGGTGAAGTGAGGGGGACCCGTGCCCGCCAGAAGAAGCGCAGACCACCTGACGCTTCCCCTGGCAACCTGGAGCAGCCGCCAGACAACATGGAGACGTTCTTTGCACCCCAGGTCTGTCCTCTGCCTGTAAACACCACTGCAGAAGCTGGGCATGTGCTTCCGCACAGTGGGGCGCCACCCTTGGATACTGTGTATCCGACACCGGACAGGAAGCCCTCAGGCAGGGCTCAGGGGATGGTGAAGTGTGAGAGCCCAGCGACAACTCTGTGGGCACAAAATGAGCTGCCGGATTTTGGAGGCAACGTCCTTCTAGCCCCAGCGGCTCCTGCGCTTCAGGTACCAGCAAAACCTCAGCCGTCTGCAGTGGTTCAGCCTCCAGAAGAGGTGGTGTCTGGGCAGCAGTCACAGAAGCCAAGCTCTGCCTCCCCTCTGCAGAACCGAGATGGGATTGGTGCTTCCGAGAACCTTGAGAATCCTCCCAACGTGGGTGAAGAGGAGGCCCTTCAGCCACAGGCAAGTTCTGGTCATGCCGATGCATTACCCTCACCGCCCGCTGAGTCTCTACTGCATCTGCCAGTCTTGATGGCCCAGCCTGACCAGAACTATAATCTGGCTCAGCCCGTTAATTTTTTCGTGTCCTTATCGAATCCTAATGGGAAGAATCAGTCCTGGAGAGATGCTTCGGTGGGGGATAAACCTCCAGTAGACAGTGGGGTGCTCAGTGGTGATTCTGGGGAAAACATTCCTTTGTCTGGGATCCCAGCCAGTTCTGTCCTTAACTTGTCTCTGCCCAGTAGTCTTGCCCACAGTAATTTTCCACAAGATTCTGGTTCTTCTGAAATGATTTCTAATCAGCTTGCCAATTTGCTGGTTCAACCACCATCCCATCCACTTCCAAAAAACTTGGTTCTGGAAAGTCAAAAGAATCACAATGCAGAGAACGTTCTTCCCGAGTTTGTTAATAGCCCTGCTGGAAGCACGAGTGTGATGTTAGTTCCACCTGCAGACAGTACCGTGGTGCCTAATAGTACCAAGGCAAATCACTCCGGTAATCGGGAAAAAACCTATGGAGCCCTAGACTTTACATTAAATAGGACTTTGGAAAACCCTGTAAGAATGTATAGCCCATCCCGTTCTGATGGCCTGGCCTCTCAGCACACCCTTGGCAATCATCCCGGACAGTCCGGGCCTGGGCCATGTAACCCAGACCGTTTCTACCAACAGGTAATGAAAGATGCACAGGACCAGCCTGGCCTGGGAGGAGCGCTGCAAGAGTTAGTGCCTCCTCAGCAGCAGAATTCTCCTCCACAAGTGCCCAAAGCAACGTCTGCGGAATCTTCAAATGCAGAAAGTCTGCCAGCACAAGGACAGTCCCAAAACTCAGCCCAGGCACCAGCAAGCCTGGCTCCAGTTGACACAGGTCAGCAGCTGCTGCCTCAGGCCTCCAGCGTGTCGTTGGTGTCCATTGGCTCGAGCCAGGCAGCCACGCAGTCAGAGCAGCAGTGGCCACAGCCAACACCTCCACACACCTTGGGCCCACCGCCTCAGGACTTAGCATCCTACTACTACTATAGACCTCTGTATGATGGCTACCAGTCTCAGTACCCCTCCCTGTACCCACCAGATCCTGGGGCAGCCTCCCTCTATTACCCGGTATGTAGAACTCTCATGTTTAACCCTCTTTTCTCTCCTTGCTTTTACTAGTTGGGTTTCTTTCTGTCATGGTGTGTTCTTTGGTGGTGTTTGCTTGATTCAGAGGTGACCCACAGTCCCCAGGGCATGTAGAATACCAGTTCTAAGCACAACACCAGTTCCAAGCAGTGCTTCCTGAGGAAAGTACTCCCTAGTCCCAGAGCTGAGCTCAGGCCACCTCTTAGAAGCTCACACCACAAATTAGCATATTGAATTGCTTATAATACCTGCTTAATTTTTGTTTAATCCAGCCTCCCCAATTTATGTGACGAAAAGAGCCCTTTGTTTCCTGTAATACCTGTTGACTCTCTGCAGAATTAGAGTTCTGAGTTGCACCCTTTGGGAAGCTGGGATAGCCTTTGGAAGCTTTTGTATGGTTTTGAGAATAACCGTAGTCTTTCACATCCTCCTTGAGAATAAAAACATTGAGGGAAAAAGTTAGGTTTGGAATATTATCCACATGAAGCAGCTAAGAGAGGTGGAATTCCATGAGCTTCTGTCAAATGCTTGGTGACTCCAACAGCAGAGTGGGGAGGCCCTGCTTGTTAACACAGAAGGTTCTTTCCTGCCTTTTTTCACAGTGACACGAGTGGTGTTCAAATTAGATTCTGTTTAAGTCCTGCAGCAGTTTGGAAAAGTGTGGTCCACGTGGACACGTTTGATCATTATCTGCTTTTCGTCACCACTGACCCCGATTCAGTATCGCCCAAGGTAGTAGTGTGTAAGGGGAAGTCTTGCAATGTGTGGGGCCTGTCAGACCCAGGCTTGGGTAGCGAGCAAAGGCCTCAAAGTTAGAAGGCATCCCCCGGAGCAGGACGGCTTTGGCCAGGCAGGCGCTGCCTGCAGCCCTGGGGCCTGGGCCTTGAGTAGGTGGTTTATGCACCTGCAGACAGTCACACATTCGAGCCCTCAGGCCTGGGAATCCTAGATTCTGGAAGGAGCCTATATACTTTTTATCTCCACATGAGAAAGTTTAGAAGTTTAGCGTTGACCTCTGGGAGCGGCAGAGCGAGGGGCGCCATGGACTCACCTTAGGTCCTCTGCAGGGATCCCGGCCTGCAGCCAGCCGCTCTCTGCGAGTGCGTTTCCTTCTAGCTGCTGTAGTGTCCAGTCGTGGACAAGAACGAATCCGTTTTTCCATGATTTCGTATCATCTGCCAGGTAGTGGCAGAGAGTTGAGGCTTTTAGACAGGGAAGGATGATTCTAGCTTCTACCCAGATCACCTCATCTGTCTTCAGATCTTCATGTGTCCACTCGGGCCCTTCCTTAGAGACAGGTCTATGGCCATGAATTAGTTTTTAATGGGGCTGAAAGCATCGTAAATATAAAACACAATCCTCTTTTTGAGGCTGTCTGTAGCTTTAAGACCCATTCACATGGTCTTAAAGCTTTATGGAGATGGCGTCCGAAGCTGGACACAGGCATTATTCAAATCCTGACATCTTTACATTGGAGACATCAAGAAGCAGACACCTAACAACCCTTGCAGAAATCGCCATGGCCCTTTGGGGTTGCTCGCGGACATGCTGATGCTCTCGGCCCATCTGGGTGGTTTCCCGAGCAGGGCCAGGGCTGTCAGTGTGAGGAAGATCCCACTGCAGGCCTGGTGAGAGGGACTGCTGTTGGTAGGTGGTGGTTTGCATTAAGGAAGCCCCACATTCAGTGCTGCTTTTAGAGAGCGGATGTCTGTAATGTTTAGAGCTAGAGCTGGTTGCTCTGTGAGTTTGCTCTTGGTTGGTATCTAACGTTGCCCAAATGCTTCCTCCCATAGGACGTCTACGGCCTCTATGAGCCTCGATACAGGCCCTACGACAGCACAGCATCTGCGTACGCTGAGAACTACCGCTACCCTGAGCCCGAGCGGCCCAGTTCCCGAGCAAGTCACTGCTCCGACCGGCCACCTCCCAGGTGGGGCTCCATCCACTCTGGTTGCTTCACTCTCGTACAGAGTCTGATGTTTATGTTGTTGACTGTGGTGGTAACTTAACGATTTGAAAAATTTTGTATCTGTAAAGAATCATACAAACGTATGTAATATATGTTTACATTTTGCCAATATGGACAAATTGCAGAATGTGTTTTTAAATTGAATTAAACACACTGCCACCAGCAGCCATTAGCTGTGATGGACAGTTAGCATTTGGCCACCTCCTAGTCAGGCCAGACCCTGAGCAGGTCCACAGAGAAGGACTTGTGTGTGTGCACTCTGGATGGGGCGCTTGTTCCTGTCATCCAGGCACGTCTTGCTCTGGCAGTTTGGTAATGGGATGTTCGCAGTCCTTAGACTGTGGCAGCTTTTAACTGGTGCAGGCTTTTCCCTACCACGGAGTCTCCAGAGGCCAGGGGGCGCTGGTCACAGAGATGACACAGTCCTTAGATCCATCAGGCAACACCAGAATGCAGGGCCTGAAAACCCACGTTCTCTCCCTGATACCACCGCCTCTGCCGAAGGCCGGCAGACGTCCTGGGCCTGCTCGTCTCCTACGCTGGCCCTCCATGCTTCTGTTTGCGGTTGCAGAGATGGATTTGGGAAGAACCATGGCACCATGGCTTTGGCTGGGTAAGCCTTTAAGCCAGGTCAGAGTCCTGTGTTCTTGGAGCAGAAGAGGCTGTTTTCGATTTTTGTTTCCACTCAGAGAAGTTGGCAGAGTGGGAGAACAGTAGTGAGGGCGTGGGTCCTGGCGGCTGTGCTCAGCTGTCCCTGCCTTCCAGAGCTTTTGCTGCTTTCTCCTTGTTGGACCGAGGAGTAATGGTCTCACTGGTACAGGTTTTGCTACAAGGGTATATTGCTTTTTAGACTTTGTAATACAGAAAAGTCAAATCATTTTGAAGACTGTGTATTTGCACTTTGTTACTAAAGGTTGCTTATGCTGAGTCTTCGAGGTTTGTAGTAGCTTACCTGAAAGACAAAAGTCTCTGAAAGTCTGCCCATTTGGCTGGCCCAGGTGTACGCTGCTGCAGAGGTACACCCTGCACTGCGCGTAGCTGGGTGTTCTGGGCGCTTTATGAAGCACAGCAACACAGTGAGGCTTTGTCTCTCAGGAGACTTCACTTGAGATAAAATTCCCAGGATTTTAGCTGCTGTGTGTCACCATGTCACCAGGGAGGTGGGATCTGATGTTAATGTAGTGTTCTGACTCAGCGCCCGTGAGGTGAGGGCAGACGGGCAAGTGTTTTCTAGAGCCCTGGGAGGCAAGAGAGAGCAGAGATGGCTGAGCTGGGGTGAGTTCTTGCTGGCCTGGTTTCCTTCCACCTGCCAACCTGCAGGTTCACACAGGATGATTCAGGAGGCCAAAGGCGGCTCCATGCTGTTCAGAAGCCTCCCCCGGAGGCTAGTTCAGGTGCCACGGGAGCAGTTTTGTGGCCGTAGCGGCTAGAATTCTCTTCTGTCAGCTGTTGTGCTGCTCCAGCTGTCTTTAGCGCTTCTGTGACCACTCTGGAAAGTAATCGCTCCTCTGTCCTTCCCCTCCAGGCCGCATAGAGCTCACGCATGCACGTTTGGTATCAATGCTGATGTTTGGCACTAGCTTGTCTGTCTGCACCCAGTGTGCTCAGATCATGGCAGGAACTGCTTAAGGTCAGAACAGCTCGTTCGCTCTTGTGATTGTATCATTCCTGGTGAACGAGCGGGGCTGGAGAGCAGTGGGGCTGCTGCCAAATAGCAGAGGGCCCGACTGTCCACCCCGGCACGGCACACTGCTCGGCCACAGTGACAGCCTGCCAACTGACAGCCCGGGTGGTCACTCTAGACTGCATTTGTGTACATGGCAGTGGGTTCCGGAACCCACTGCTCTCACAAGTGCTGTACCAGCCAAGCAGCCAGACAGGGCCGAATGACCGTGTGGCCCCTGTGACAGTTCCTGAAGGAGCACGTGAATAGTCACATTATAAGAATCTGATATTGTATAAAACCTGCTGTTAGGCCGGACGTGGTGGCTCACACCTATTAGGACCAGAGTCCTAACACTCTGGGAGACTGAGGTGGGAGGATCGCTTGAGCTCAGGAGTTCCAGACCAGCCTGAATAAGAGTGAGACCCCATCTCTACTAAAAAAATAGAAAAAATTAGCCAGGTGTAGTGGCGAGTGCCTGTAGTCCAGCTACTCAGGAGGCTGAGGCAGGAGGATTATTTGAGCCCAGGAGTTTGAGGTTGCAGTGAGCTAGGATGATGCCACTGCACTCTATCCGGGGTGACAGAAAGAGACCCTATCTCAAACAAAATCCCCAAAAACAACAAAAAAAACCTATTAGAAAATTTTAAAATGCTCTTAAGTCCTTTTAAGAAAATCTCATAAGTACCGGAAGTTCTGATACTTGATCATTTTGCTAAATGTGGTTTTTCTGTAACAAGAGTCAGGGTCATGGCTTGGTCTACGAAGCCAGCCTAGGGGGCCCCTATAGGAGTCTGACCCCAGGTCAGCTCCAGGAGACACAAGGGGTGACTCTGTCCAATCCTGCTCCCAGGAGCCTGCACTGAGGCTCTACGGCGTGCACCTGGGAGCGCGCAGAGAGCGTCCGTCAGGCAGTCGGGTGTAAGGCATCGACATTGGCATTTTAGGGTGGTTTTGATGGCTCAGTGCTTTTTTCTTCTGCTAAGCATGATATAAAAAATTTTAGGACCTATTTTAGTGTTGACTTTTATAGCATGTAGCAATGAGAATACCAAAAGGGTCAGTTCTTTTTTGCTGATCAACTCTTAAATATTAATACTTATTTTACTGAGATAAATTTTAATTAGCAATATGGTGAGGAATTCCATAATCTCATCCATGTTACTGTTTGAATCTTCTAGTTAGAATTTTTTTATGACCAAAGTTCTTTGATAAATGCTTTTGCTTTTATAATTTGTATAATTTATATCGGCTGATATCACACTTAAAGAAATAGGTAATTTGTTTTTAACAGCGCTGTGTATTTTTTCAGGCAAGGGTATCCTGACGGATACTATAATTCCAAAAGTGGATGGAGCAGTCAGAGCGATTACTATGCAAATTATTACTCCAGCCAGTACGATTATGGAGGTATGTTTAGGAATTTTAAAAAGTCGGCCATTCACAAATGGATTGTCTGAGAGACTGCCGTGCTCTGCTGGGTGACTTCTGAGAAACTTTCCTTTAGTAGTCTCTTCTTTATGTTTTTATCCAAGAGCTAAAGTTGTCGAAGATGCTTTGCATCTGAAAATAACTGTATTGATATTTTTCATTAAGAAATTACATCTTAATTATAGCATGAATGTATCTTTATCACACTGGCAGTTTTCTTTGATTTTCTAGCAAATTGTAATCATCACTAGTTCCAGAGCCACCTTTTCCACATGTGACTACTTAAGTGTAAATTGATGAAAACAAAACAAAATGAGAAACCAGCCCCTCAGTCTCACCAGCCGTGTTTTCCGTGCTCAGTGGCCTCAGGAGGCTGGTGGCTGCTGTGTGGGACAGTGCAGACATGGGCCGTGTCCACCACAGCCATGTTCTGGGTGCTTCCCGGCAGTGTATGTGGCACAGTGGCCATGTCCCTGGGAAGGGCTGCTGGTTGCTCCTGCCTAGCTGTCCTGTGCTCCGGGCCCTGCAGCCCCTCTGGGGTCCCACTGGTGCCAGCCCCGCCTTCTGCTTCCTAGAGGGCTGCTTCTGCCCTCTAGTGTTTGCGCCTGTTTCAAATATAAATTCTGTACACGCTTGCTGAAAGTGTATATCCCGTTTTGTTTATAATGTTAATGTGCCTTTAAAGTAATCTTTTACTATTTAGGTGATTTTTTAAAAATCTTCTGGATCACATTAAGAAGAAGAAATATTTGTAAAATTTATAGTTATAGGATTGACTATTAAGAAATAGTAACTATGAAAAAACTTAATAAAGAAGTCTTTTAGCATCTCTTCTAAAGTTATCTTTTCTTTTTCATCAAAAACACTTGTTTTTAGAAAAAATTAGGTAGTAAATACACAGGCAAGACACAGCTGGGGGTCCTCGGGGACCTCGTAGCTACCATTTCCTCGTGTTCTGCTGACTTTCAGGAGGAAAGTTTGGTTTCTCCAGGAGTCCTTAAAGCATTCTTAGGTACTGGCGGGGCGAAACTTCTGTAGTGAAATCCAGAGGAGTTTCTTGTTTTGCATGTTACTATATTAATCCATTAAGTCCTTGCTCACAGATCCAGGTATCGTTTCCACTACAGTGCTAGATTCAAGGACCCCCGCACCTGTGACCGGAGGTACTGGTGTGATGTGGAGTACGACCCGTATAGGAAAGAGCCCTATGCCTATGGCGACAGGTTGGTAAACCGCATAAAGGAGGCCGGCAGTAAACAGACGTGTGTTCTTGCTCATCTGTCCTTGTGTCTTTGGAGTTTATCAAAGAGCTGTAGTTGTTTGGGGGTTTCTGGTGAGCAGCTGGCTAATGTATTGGTCACTGTCTGAGAAAGGAAGGATGGACCAGGCCCTCCCAGCGTTGCCAGCCCTTGGGCTATTAGAGGAGATCTAGCCTCGGAATGAGTGCTCATGCAGTGGCTTCAGAAGCACCTAGGGGTCTAGGTTCACTCATGTCTCATCCCTCATTTGTCATGCCTGCACCCAGAGTTGTGACCACGGTTAAGATGCACTTGAGTTCTCTAAAATCATGAACCTGAGTCTGAGCCGTGGGCTGCTGTCATGTGACACTGTAGTGTCAGCTCTAACTCATACTCTTTAGGGTAAAGGTGTCTTGGAAATGGCGGGGCAGCCAGCGGGTAGGGGGACCTGCTGGGCCTTGGTCTGTTGTCTGGCAGCTGCATGTCGTGCCCCTAGCAGTCCTCCGAAACTGCGCTTTCTTTGCCTCTGGCCCCTGCTTCCTGTAGGCCCGAGAAATGTGACGACTCCTGGAGGTATGACCCTCGTTTCACCGGGAGTTTTGACGACAACCCAGAGCCCCATAGAGACCCTTATGGGGAAGAGGTGGACAGGCGCAGCGTCCACAGTGAGCACTCGGCGCGGAGCCTGCGTAGCGCGCACAGCCTGCCGAGCCGTCGCAGCAGCCTCAGCTCCCACTCGCACCAGGTGCGCTCAGCAGGGTGGCATTCGGGGGCAAGGGTTGGGACGAGGATCTGCCACCCCGTCCCAGAGACATGGCGGACAGTTCCATCAGGCACAGTTATCTTCTTTGTGGCAGTTCTGGCAACATACCTAAAGTCCTACTGGTGTTCGTGGCGAACTAATTTACCCATTCGCTTGTTTTCTAAGAGTCAGATTTACAGAAGTCACAATGTAACTGCCGGTTCCTATGAGGCCCCACTTCCTCCAGGCTCCTTTCGTGGCGATTATGCCTACGGCACGTACGGCAGCAACTTCCACGGTGCCCAGGGCTTCCCAGAGTATGGCTACGCTGCAGACAGTGGCTGGTCCACTGTGGAACAAGGTGTGTGCACAGCAGGGCAGGGGGATGCTGGGTCACCTGTGGGGTGGCTGCCAGCCTGGGGTCAGGATGCAGAGTCAGGGCTGTGACTGGCATTTGTGACGGGCTGTGTTCCAGCCTGTCCTTGTGAGTGGCAGAGCGAGTCAGGGCAGGCCGATGCCTTCCCTTCAGTTGCAGCGGGGCTTGCAGGTCTAAGAGCGGCTGTCTGTCCACATGTGCGTTTCTCCAGGGTGGTTCTGAGCACAGCCCACTCCAGGCTCCTGGGTGGCCCCTGATCGTGTCTCCAATGTTGACCACGGCTGAGTAGTTTGGAGGGAACTTCTCATTCCCTTTGGAAGGTGCCTGTTCCTGGACTTGTCCCAGGTGGCACATTCTAACTTCCCTTCTAAAATGTTTGACCAAATGCTGTTTGGGAAAACTGCAGAAATGTACGTGAAGTTATATAGAATATAACAGTGGACCTCCTTTCTTAAGGTATTACTTCAGTTAAAGATTTTTTTGTCTTTTGAGACAGGGTCTCTGTCGCCCACGCTAGAGTGCAGTGGTGTCATCACAGCTCACTGCAACCTCAAACTCCTGGGCTCAAGCAATCCTCCTGCCTCAGTGTCCTGAGTGGTTGGGACTACAGGCGAACGCCATCATGCCTGGCTGGTTTTTCTTACTTTTTGCAGAGATGGAGTCTCACTATGTTGTCCAGACTGGTCTCGAACTTCTGGCCTCCCTAAATGCTGGACAGGCATGAGCCACTGTACTTGGCTCTTAATTTTCTTTTTGATTCAGGGTGTTGACTCTTGTCATTTTTGAGTGGTGCTTGTGATAGTCAGTTGGCAGTTGCATTTGTGAGAGAGCTTGGGAGCAGGGAGGGCTCCGGAGGAGCCCCGTTAACTGTAGAAAGGGCTCGGGAGCTGTCTACAGGAGCTTTTTCATTGTAGATGAGAATGGGTCTCATTTTTAATGATTTAAACATTTATCTGATGTATGTTTAGATTCTACTTCTTTTACTGTAGATATTTAACAATTATTGCAGATATTTAACAAATTTTTTTTTTTTTTTTTTTTGAGACTGAGCGAGACTGCCCCAGCCTCCTGAGTGGCTGGACTACAGGTGCACGCCACCATACCCACCTAATTTTCCTATTTTTTTTTTTTTTTTGTAGAGACGGAGTCTCACTCTTGCTCAGGCTGGCCTCAACTCCTGGTTTCAAGTGATCCACCTGGCTTGGCCTCCCAAAGTGCTAAGATCATAGGCATGAGCCACCATGCCTGGCCAACAATTATTGACTTTTAGTTGAAAGTCATTTTATAATGCTCAATCTATCCTATGACTTCAGCTGTGTGGTCACATTGAAAATCTAGGCATTGATCTGGCTCAGAAGCATTAAAAAATGACAAACTGATTGTTTCTTTTTCAATTTTTTTAAATATAGTTCCATCAAGACCAACTTCTCCTGAAAAATTTTCAGTGCCTCATATCTGTGCCAGGTTTGGTCCTGGTGGCCAGCTCATCAAAGTGCTTCCAAACCTGCCTTCAGAAGGACAGCCCGCGCTGGTTGAGATCCACAGCATGGAGGTAACGCCACGGGTGGCAGCGCGGCGCCACTGCTTGGCTGACACCTGTGCTCTGCAGCTGTTATCTTCAGCTGCCAGTTGTTGTGTCCGGACATAGAACCATGGAAAATGTTTATTCCTATGAATCTTCAAGTTGTAGGTTTTTTGCTCTGTTTAGTCGTACTATTTTCCTCCTAGAAGTCAGCGTTTGAAGCATCTGCGTAGGGTGTTAGACTTGGTTTTATTGCATTTGCATCTTCTATCTGGTTCACATCTGTCCGCTTTCCCGGTAACTTTCAGTGATGGCTGAGGTGCTTCCCAGTGCAGTGCCGGGTGGGCCAGGTGCTGCTGAGCTCAGGGAGGCTGCAGGCGCCCCGGCCTGTAGCCCTGGCTGGCCTCTTCTGTTACATGTGTTGGGGCCCTGCTTCAGAGTTTGAGGGAAAAAATGGATCTCACTACTTAAAGTTTGAAAACCACTGTTATAGCCCAGATGTGACTATTCCATTAAACAGCCTTGAGCCTTCACCCCATGTGGTGGCACAGGCCACCCTCTCAGGGGCAGTGTCTGTGGTGCAGTCTGCCAGTGTAGCCAGCAAACGTGGCTCAGGCATTCATTACATGCTGGCCCCACGTGAGCGACTCTGTCCCCTCTCCTTGTAGACCTTGCTGCAGCACACGTCTGAGCAGGAGGAGATGCGGGCGTTCCCGGGGCCGCTCGGCAAGTACGTTCTTATTGGGAGTTCCCTGGTGTTTGTGCGGTAGCAGTTGCTGAGCTTGGCCTCCGGGACACTGCTGTTCACTCCATGTTTGTTCCTTTGCAGAGGTGACACCCATAAAGTGGATGTCATTAACTTTGCACAGAACAAGGCTACAAAGTGTTTGCAGGATGAAAATTTAATTGACAGAGAGTCTGCAAGTCTTCTTTGGAATTTCATCGTTCTCTTGTGTAGACAGAATGGGGTATGTGTGTTTTTACTGCTGCGTGTTTCTCTTCGTTGGCCTTTAGTCTTGGGGCTGCTCGGTCCTGCAGAGGACCTGGGCTGGGTCCGTGTCCTCGGCTGTGGGCAGTGGCAGTGCTGCTGTCAGGGGCTCCCTCGGGACCGGGCGCCTTAGCAGCAGTTTGGGGATGTGGGAGAAAGGAGGAAACATAGTTTTGGGGTCAGCTGAAGTTTTAGCCCAGCTGTTGTCAGCCTTTCAGGGGGACTGCGGGTATGTATGTCTGTCATATCCCTGGCTGTGCCCAGAGTGTGTAACGTGTGTTGAGGATCCTCACCTGACCAGCAGATTTGTCACCTCACTGGAAATTCTGTTCCTGGTCAAGCCTTCTGTGCTCCCTCCCACCCTGTTACCCTTACAGACCGTGGTGGGAACAGACATTGCGGAGCTTTTGTTACGAGACCACAGAACAGTGTGGCTCCCTGGGAAGTCCCCCAACGAGGCAAACCTGATTGACTTCACTAACGAGGCCGTGGAGCACGTGGAAGAGGAAGAACCTGGCGAGGCCCAGCTCTCATTCCTCACGGACAGCCAGCCAGCCACGGCCAGCACGCTGGAGAAAGAGACCGAGAGGTTCAGAGAGCTGCTGCTGTATGGCCGTAAGAAGGTAAGCTGTCCCCAAGCCTGGATCCCTGGGTGTCTTCAAGTGTGCACCGCGGGAGGGGCAGAGCCTTGCTCTCGGGTGCGTCAGTGGTGTCCTGGGTCTCGCCATTTCATGAGACGTCCGGTCCCTCGTGTGTCATCTCTCTGAAGGTGTTGATGTTGGCTTCCTTCTAAGTGTTGCCAGTGCCAATGACTTGCACATTCTGTTTTCAGTCATTCAATAAGCAAATACTTGTGTTGAGCACAGGCTACATCGCGGCAAAGGCCGAGGGCAGGGGAGAGTAGGTGTGTACCGCCGAGCAGCTGTAGTCACACCACTGTGAGGGGGACTTGGGTCCCAGAGTGCCTCCAGGGCCCTGCATAAGGAGGGAGGGACTGAGATAGCAGCCTGTTCTGGGGAGGGGAGGGACATGTCCTCAGCGAGCCTCCTGGGACAGTGTGTGCGTGGGAGGGGGCTCTGGGGTGGGTGCCGTCTGTTCAGGACTCGCTCTGGGTGAGTGGCTGGTCCCACTGGCTCGTGTGGCTCTGAGCAGCAGGGACGCCTGATAGGCGGCAGTTCTCTACTCACGTATCCCAATAAACTGAGGAAGGTCATATTTGATCATTTTGATTTCAACATGGACATTTGACAACTGATTGAAACCTGTTAGCTTTGATTAACATTTATCTCTATTGCAACGTTTGCCTCTTAGCCAGAGGTTGTGAGCGTGGAGGTGTGTTGCACCCAGATTACTTAGGGTGAGGGAGGCTGCTTCCTGTGCCGGGCAGATCCCCACGGGGGCCTGTGGCACCGGGATTGGAGTGAAGGTTGCTATGCTGCGCCTCACGGGGGCAGGACGGTGTGGGCACAAGGGCACTTCTTGGTTGTCCCTGCTTGTTCTTTATGCTGAAAATGGGTAATAAAGCAGTGACATCTACCATGGGGACTTTGAAACTAAGGAAAATGATGAAGTATTGGATTTTCTTTAACATCGAAACTGCCTTTGGTGGGTTTGACTCTCAGTCTGCTGTCAGCCCTTGCTCCTTTCCCGTCAGTGCAGACATGGCACGCGGCAGTTTCCTCTGTTACAGTCACCTAAGTGACTCTGGTGATTGGCACAACCACTGAACTGCTTTGCAGGACGCCTTAGAGTCCGCAATGAAGAACGGCCTGTGGGGTCACGCTCTGCTGCTTGCAAGTAAGATGGACAGCCGGACACACGCCCGCGTCATGACCAGGTACGGGTCCTCTTGTCACGGACGGCAGGCGGATCTCGCTCCTGCTGCGGCGCTGCCACACGGGGATTTGGGCCTACCTAGCCCTCCTCATTGGGTTGTATTGCTGAGGGTTTTTAATTTTTTTTACTAACTGAATGGTTTTGAACACTTTCTATAAAATCTCAGTGAATTCCTTCATCTTTAAGGGTTTGTTTTATTTTTTAAATATCGAGATGTGTACACTTTGCCTAAACACGAGTCTAATCGCTAATCAAAAGGGCTAAGATCAGACTTTTTAAAAACTGAGCCAGGCTGGGTGCAGTGTCTCACGCCTGTAATCCTAGCACTCTGGGAGGCCGAGGCGGGTAGATCGCTCAAGGTCAGGAGTTCGAGACCAGCCTGAGCAAGAACAAGACCCCCATCTCTACTAAAAATAGAAAGAAATTATCTGGACAACTAAAAATATATAGAGAGAAAAAATTAGCTGGGCATGGTGGCGCATGCCTGTAGTTCCAGCTACTTGGGAGGCTGAGGCAGGAGGATCCCTTGAGGCAGGAGTTTGAGGTTGCTGTGAGCTAGGCTGAAGCCACGGCACTCTAGCCTGAGCAACAGAGTGAGACTCTGTCTCAAAAAAAAAAAAACTGAGCCAGAGGTAGGTCTTTTTGGTTTTGTGTCTCCCTAGGTTTGCCAACAGTCTTCCCATCAACGACCCTCTGCAGACTGTCTACCAGCTCATGTCTGGGCGCATGCCCGCTGCGTCCATGGTACGTGATGGCTCGCCACAGCCCCTTTCTGTTTGGAGTTTGCTCCCGTGAGCTGCTGCTCCAGGACAGGGCCCGTGCTGTGGCCAGGCTTGCTCCTGGAGCTCAGCGTCGCGAGTTAGAGTGCTGTGCTTTTTCCAGAATAAGGATCTGAGATTTTTTTCCTAATTTTAGTGTTGTGGAGATGAGAAGTGGGGAGATTGGAGGCCACACCTCGCCATGGTCTTGTCCAACTTGAATAACAACGTGGATGTGGAGTCCAGGACGATGGCCACGATGGGCGACACTCTGGGTAGGTCGGGTGCTGGGACCAGAGGCAGCCATGGATTGGGTGCGAGGGCTCGAGGTGTGAGTCGCGGCAGGGGCCGTGAGGACCACAGGCGTCTTTGTTCCTCCAGCCTGTCCTTGTGTCTCCCACTAACCCTCTGGTTTCCGTGAGGTGTCCAGTGACAGGGATTTGGCTGTTTTGTGTCTCTCTTCAGCTTCAAAAGGTCTCCTTGATGCTGCACACTTCTGCTACCTTATGGCCCAGGTTGGATTTGGGGTTTATACAAAGAAATCTACAAAACTTGTCTTAATTGGATCAAATCACAGGTAAGGAGTCAAGTAAATGTAGTATCTGTTTTCCTTTGGAAAGAAAAAAAATCCCTCTCCTTTAGCTAATTCAGAGATGGCCAGCCTCGAGTCTTTGTCACATTGTGGGACATGCTTCTGAGTTACGTGCTCCAAGGTTGACTATGCCAATAATCGGCCATTTTTTAAAATCAAAATAATTCATTTCCTCAACAGTTTGCCGTTTTCCAAGTTTGCAACCAATGAAGCTATTCAGAGGACAGAAGCCTATGAATACGCCCGATCGCTGGGGGCCCAGAGCAGCCCCCTGCCCGACTTCCAGGTGAGCAGGCGTCTGGCATGAGCTGGTGATCAGTGCTGACAAGCTTTGGGTTGTTGAGGAATTTTGAGTTCTTATGCAAAAAATGATGCAATTTTGGAAAATCTTCTTGGGAAGACATTTGATCCATAATGCTCAAAAACCAAACCGTATTGAATTGAGAATTTTTGTTTGCATTTTGGTTCTTAATATTTTAAACATTAAAAACTTTCAGTACTTGATTTCAAGAAGTTTTATATCAGCTATTTTTAGTATGTGGGGAAGGTGTTATCTGACGCAGTACAGTGTGTGTGTGTGTGTGTGTGTGTGTGTGTGTGTGTGTATGCGCGTGTAGAACACACAGAAAGCACTAGTAGAGATGCTTCTGGTGTGTTTGCAGCTGCATGGCGGGCCGTGGTCTCAGGGTGTCTCTCCGAGTGTTGCTCTCATGAGCGTAGTGGCTCTGCTATAGGTGTTGGGGAAAAGCAGAGCGAGTTTCTCAAAAGCTTAGTTGTTTACTTGGATCTTAAAGCCTCTCAGGGAATGGGGGCTGGTACGTGGTTGGTGAGTAGGGAAAGGAGACAGTGTAACCAGAACATTCACAGCTTACAGGGTGCTGTTAGGAATGACAGGGAACACTGCAGGACAGCTAAGCTTTGTTTGTTTGTTTGTTTGTTTGTTTTAGGTGTTTAAATTCATCTACTCTTGCCGCCTGGCTGAAATGGGGCTTGCCACACAAGCCTTTCATTACTGCGAAGTGATTGCTAAAAGCATCCTGACACGTCCCCATGAGTATTCCCCGGTGCTAATTAGCCAGCTGATTCAGGTCTGTCTCTTTGCCTTCCCGTGGCTCCTACTGACTGGCCCACCGAGGCACGTTGGGATTGCAGGGCTCAGGAATGGTGTGGTGTCTTGGATGCTCATTGTAGTAGACACTTGGAACCTACTTCTTGGTTGGATGAAGATCTTGAAATATGCTTGGACAGGGATGTTGTGTTTTGCATCTTAGCATGGGAATTCTCAGGTACTTATGCCATTACAGAAATTTGGCAGTAAGCTTCAAAATCAGAAGGACTTGTCTCTAGGACATTCCTATTTTGAGGCAATTTAGTCTGGTGGTTAAGAGCTTAAGCTTCTGGAGTCTGGAGCTTGACTGCACCACTGCAAGCCCCACTCCTCCCCGTGAAATGGGGCCACGAGGCCGCCAGGAGCCCAGTGAGGAGCACACCGGGCAGGGGCAGAAAGCACCCGTGGGAGCCTGGCACGTGGCGGCCCAGCAAGGCTGGATCAGGTGTTTCCTCTCCCCCTGCTAGCTCCATTTTTGAAAATGTACTCATGTGATAGCCACAGAAATTTATTTTGGAAATTTTTAAACCTATATCATAGTACAAAGAATAATTAATGAATCCTTACGGCCTCGTCCCCCAGCATCAGCAGCTGCTAACACAAGGCCAAACTTGTCTGTACCACCCACTGCCTCCTGACTCTCATCCCCCGCTGCCCCCACCGCACCCCCTACTCCTAATCAAAGAACACATGCATTCCGGGTCAGCTCAGCATTTTGACAAGTAAAGTGGAACCTGTGTAATCAGGTGGTAGCCACAGGAGCTGCTGATCACACGCACGTGGCCAGGGGCTCTCTTGCAGTGACCTCGTGGGCAGGTGGTTTCTAATGACCCAGTGTCATCTGTTTTGGGCATGTCACGTAAGCACACTTTAGAAACATCTGCGTAGCTAACTAAAGCTTTATCTCTAACACTGAAGCTGCATTTGTTCGAGTACAGTATATTTTCAAAATGGTTTTGCTTGCCATCACCTGCATGTAACTGGGCCTTTGTTTTTTGTGTCTGTCTAGGTAGCTTCCCAGTTACAACTCTTCGATCCTCAGCTGAAAGAAAAGCCGGAAGAGGAATCTTTTGTCCAGCCCACTTGGTTGGTTCACCTGCAACATGTGGAGAAGCAGATCAAGGTACAGTGTTTGCTTTCACAACAGGACAGCTTTCTCTTAGGACTTGGCACAGAGACATGTGACAAGGTGGTTTTTGTCTCTGTTGTTTTCACACCAAAGTATTCAATCTAAACAGTATAGTCATAAAGTTTGCCTGTCGTTAGAATTTCCTAATGCCCCAGAAAGGGTATCAGTGGTGTAACGCCATCCTGAAGCAGAGACAGGGTGGCTGGGGCTGGGAAGAAGGCTGTCGCGGTGAGCCGCAGGGTGCCAGACCTGCGTCCGCAGGGCTGGACTTGGTTCTCCTTTAGGAAGGGATTGTGGTGTGGAGTCAGGATGGAGCCTTCCCCCAGCAGTGTCCCAGCACGCCCAGCTCTGAGGTGGGACAGTCGGACGGTCCAGGACTCGGTCAACAGGCGGATCTGGAGACTGATAACCTGCTGCTGGTGGTGCCTGCGCCCAGCACTGATCACTTGAGCCAGGGTGTGCGGCTGCTGCCTTCAGGTGAGCCCGTGCTCCCGCTGGCCGAGTAGGGGCCTGCGCTCCTTGCCAGGGAACTGCTGTGCACACGGGATGCTTGTGTTTTGCTGCCAGGAGAACCGAGAGCAACAGTGGTTTGGGCAGCTCCTCTTCTTCTTACGTGTCCTCTCTTAGGGAGCCTATCAAATTCATGGCACCAAATACCCATATGCTGACGACCCTGCCATTCCCACCCCGGCCAGCCCTATGCCCCTGATGCCAGCTGTGTCCTCATCCTGTCCACACACTTCTCTGGGGACCTCTCAAATGTACCGTGTTTGGACTGGGGCCCTCCACAGGCACCGGACGCAGCCTGCTCTTCATCTGCCCCATCTCAGGAAGGGCAACCCTGATTCTTCCAGAAGTTGCGGCCCAAACCTCCTTCTCTCATTCGCACCTCTAGTTTGTCAGTAAATCTTGTCAGCACGTCCTACCCACGTCACACCCTCACTGCTTGCCTGGATGGGTGCCTTTCCTTCCCCACCCGCCTCCTGCACGTACCCCACACCCTCCAGGGTCCCCCTCTCGTCTGAGGACAGGACAGGCTCCTCACAGTGCCCACAGGCCCTGCATGGTCAGCCCTGCAACCTCCTGCACCGCCCCTCCCATTTTGTGCTCCAGCCGTGCTTGTCACCCAGGCCGCTGCCACCTCCCCTCCTGCCATCCACCCCTCTTCATCCGTAGATGCCCTGTCAGCACTCCCTGGCCAGTTTTTCTTAGCTGTTATTTTATCTTCTTAATTGGTTCATCCAACCTCCACCTCCCCCAGTCAGGACTCCTTGTCTGTTCTGTCTGGTGCCCAGCGTGGTGCTAGCAGGCAGCAGCTCTCCCTGGTTATGTGTTGAGTTGGATGGATGAATGAATGAATGAATGAATGAGTGGCCCCACTCACCAGCTTGCATTTGGGTTTTGCAGTAGACTGGAGCCTTGTGCTTGGTGACGTGTACAAGCATCCGTCCTGCCCCCGGCCCCTGGGAAATAAATGTTCTGCTTTTCTCCAAACCGCTGATGGGGCGGTGTTTTCAGCACCTTTTGCTTTGGTTATTGGATCTCCCACCCCTTAATGAAAGCAATGTGGCTACTTGAAATAACTAGTAATAAATGTGTTTGGTGTATACCAGTCAGCTCCTTCTAGTGACCCGAGTTAACCTCTGTCACCTTTGACTTCTCTTCCACTGCCCCTGTGCAGCTCCACAGACGCTCTCTGATGGCCAGCTAGCCAGCCCTGCCAGAGTTCCCATGTTCCCAGTGCTGCCGTCCCCAGGCCCCCTCGAGCCAGGTCCTGGCTATGGACTTCCAGGGTCTGCCCCTGGCTTCCCAGAGCCCTCCAGGCCTGCTCCTGCAGCTCTGTACCCAGGGCCTGGCCTGCCCCCTGGCACACCATCTCTCCAGGAAAGTAGACAACTCCAGGAGTCCAGGAGCACGGACCCAGGTGGGTCTGCCAAGATGCTGTCCTGAGAGCAGAAGCTATATTGGGTCTGGTGTTCAAGGGGGAATTGGGGGAAGAGACTGAAGTCATTTGAGCTTGGAACAAGTTATGTTGTCTTAATGTAGACCAAAAATTCTGGAAGTTATAGACTCAGTGGGTTAAGAGTCTCACTACAGTAGGAATATTAATACTTTTGTGACGTGGTTTTTTGTCATAATGTGAGCTTCAATGACCATTCAGAGTATGACACAATGGCCTAGGCTGTTCCTAGGGTCTGTCTTCAGATGGTCCTTCCGAGGTCCTTGTGAGCTGCACAAGTGGAGTTGTGAACGTCTATCTGGAGGTGGATTTAATGGGTCTTATCTCTGGTCTGTGCTTGTCTTGTCTGTTTGGACAAAGCAAAACATAGCCAGGCTTTAAAAAATAAAATAATTTCCACACATTTGGGAAAATTTGCAGTGTTGGCTTCTAAAAACAACACTGTGGTGAGCCCAGGAAGAAGCTGGTATGTTCCTTGACTTGTGTGTCACAAAAACATCCTGCTTCCTTCTGCTCCACGTCCAGTGGCACTGAGATCACGGTTGCCCTCTTTCCCGTTGACAGGGACACTGCCACAGGAGGCACCTGTTGGAAACTCACTTTCGGAGCTAAGTGAAGAGGATTTTGGTGGAAAGTTTGCTAATCTGGTACTTTCCCACATATTTTAACCCTGTTTTCCATGAACTTCATTGAGTAGGTACCCAAACTCCTTGTTGAGGTGTACGCTGAGAAATAATAAAGATGATGAAATTATTTTTTAAATTGTTTCTTAAAGAGGAAGTGCTTCTAGATAGTTTTAATCCATAAAGTATGAAGAGTTGGTGAAAATGTTGGTAAGGAAAGACAGGGGAAGAGAGACTTCAGTAGTGTAAAAATAGTTGCTTTAACTAAATAGAAGAAATACACAGATATAATGAAATCCCTTACTAATTTTAACTTTTCCAAAATGGAGAACTTTCCTGATTTCTATGCCTTTTCTTCTACAATAGAATTTCTAACATTTTCACTTTTTTCCTAAAATTGAGATCCATTTCACCAGACATATTTGGTATAAATACCTCCTCTGTTTGCCCTGATCCTAACCAGGAGGGACAGTTATTTTCATACAGCCTGCATTCTGGAACCTTCTTTATGGGTACTCAGCTCTTTATGGCCATCCCATCAGTAGGCGATTGCTGTAGTTTAAACTTTCATTATATGTTTTACCAAAATCATTCTGTCCCTGAAACAGTAAAAAAGGTTTAACTGTATTGAAAACGATGTACGTGCACATTGCCCAGCTCTAACCGTCTTGTCCTCGGTGCACGAGCACGTTCCACTTCTTCCCACCGGCAGTTCCCACGGACGCCAGAATCTGCGCCCTGAGTACCCCATGCTCCCGAACAGGGCTGCTTGTTATCTGTGGCAGCTCTTGTCCTGCCACGGCCGAGGCTCCTGGGTGCCCCGTGGCAGGGGTTGCGTTCCTCAGTCCCCTCCCTGCTCTGGTCACTAGAGTCTGCTGACCTCTCAGTGATGTTTGATGGGAACCTTTGTGGGCAGGTGCTTCCCCCGTTCTCCTCGGGGTTCTATACAAGGAGCCCCAGGAGAGCCTGCTTCTGTGTTGCCTTGGGACAGGACCCCTCGAGAGCAGCACGGGACTCAGAGACCCCCACAGGATGGGATCGTACTAACTTGGGTTCTGCACAGCCTCCTCTGTCTCTGACACCTGCTCCCGAAAGGAAGAGACCTGGACAAGCCGTCAAGAAAGAGGTCAAAGAACCTAAGAAGGTAAAGCACAGCCCACCCCTGGCGTTCTTGTCCAGCTGGGCAGGGAGGTCGAGGCAGGTTCCGAGCAAGCAGGCTCAGCTTCCCAGAGGCAGCTCTCCTCATACACTGGAGGCAAGGGAAAGGCATTAATTTCTTTGTTAATTAAACCAAACATTTAAAATTCTTTTTATACACACAGTCAAGTGTGTAAAGTGTACAACAGTGTGATGAGCGTGTATATATTTGCACACACATGTAACCACCCACGTCAGTATGAGGACACGTCTAGGCCCCCAGGTTCCCTTGTGGCCACTCCCTCTCAAAGCCAGCCCAGAGGGTGGCCAGAGGGGTCAGAGGGCAGCAGTTGGTTCGTTCTTGTTGTGTCAGTGTCTGTTGTAGGCTTGTGCCACGGTTTCCTTTCTCCTTTGTCCCAGTAATAGACATCTGGATTATTTTCAGTTTGGGGATTTCATCAGTAAAGCCACATGAGCATTCTTATCTGTGTCTTTCGGCGGGTGAGTGTACTCATTTCTCTTGCATATATGCCGAGGAGTGGAGCGTTTAGGTCACAGGATAAGTGTCTGTTCAGCTTTAGGAGACACTGCTGAACAGTTTTCCCAAATGGCTGGACCAGGTTGCAATGCCAGCAGTAGAGGATGACAGTCCCAGTTGTCCCACGTCTCCACCAGCGCTGGGTGTCACCAGTCCTTATGCCTCTAGCACGTTGCTGGGTTGGAGGTATTTCCCTGCTGAGTCATGATGAGCACCTTTTCATGAGCTCATTGCTGTCTCTGCTCTTCTGTGTAGTGCTTGTTCAAGTCTCTGTACACTTTTTCACATTTTTATTTTAATTTTTAAAAATTAAATGGAGCCTCGCTATGTTGCCCAGGCTGGTCTTGAACTCCTGTCCTCAGGCTGTCCTCTTGCCTCTGAAGCAGCGGGGATTACAGGCGAGAGCCACCGTGCCTAGCTTGTCAGTTTTTAGTTGGGTCGTTTCAGTGCCTGCGGGGTCCTTGCTGCGCTGTGGGTGCGAGTCCTGTGTCAGACGCGTGTGTTGCGAGCATCTTCCAGTCTGCACATGGCCTCTGCACGCCCAGCGGAGCCTCGTAAAGAATACAGTTCTTGGTGCTCATGGAGTTCATTTATCAGGTTTTCTTTTATGGCTACTGTCTTAAAAATAAGCACACATTTAATTCAAAATGTGTGTGAATTGTGAGATAAAACACGACACTTCAAACAGGTTTTAAGCAAACAGACCATTCCAGATCTCAGATGTAAGTTTATCTGCTTGGTAGACTTCATAGAGAAACAGAAGTGAGAGTGTGTAGGTAGCTACTGATGCTTTTTTCTTTTTTTCAATTCGAAATGAAGTACAGCACATGAAGAATGAAGTGAATTTCCCCAGCACCCATGTTCTCCCAGCACAGGGAACGGGGGGACTTTGTTGTGCGGGGTCCCACACTGACTTTCTCAGCCTGCCTTCCGCTCCGCGGAGCAGGAGGACGTGCAGGCGTCGTTTGTCGGTGTTGAGACATGAAAAGCTCCTAAAGGCGTATTACTGGTCTGACTTAATTATGGTAAAATGCACATAACATGAAATTTACCGCCGTAACCATTTCTAAGTGTTAAGCTCATTCACGTTGTGCAGCCATCGCCCCCATCCACCTTCAGTGCCTTTTCATCTTCCCAAACTGAAACTCTGTGTCCCTGAGACACTGACTCCCTGTCCCCCTCCTGCAGCCCCTGGCAGCACCCATTCTCCTTCCTGTCTGTGTGGGTCTGACAGCTGTAGGGAGCGCATAGAAATGGATCGTGCAATGTTCATCTTTTTATGTCTGGCTCATTTCACTGAGCGTAACGTTTGCGAGGTTTTGTGATGGTTTTTATATTTAGAGTGAATCCTGGTTCTCTCGTTGGCTACCTGGGAAAAAAAGGACAGAAGCTTATTTGCCAGATGACAAGAACAAATCGGTGAGCGTCATAAAATACGCACAGTGGGGATCAGGAGGGATTTTAATGATTTGTCACTTTCAGGACAGACCAGAGTAGATGTTTTCTGAAGTTTGAAAGTATCATAATTTATCAGATTCCAATACTGTTTAGCTTCAATCTACTGATTTTTTTTCCTTTTTAAAATCTTGGCAGATTGTTTGGGATGAAAAGAAAAACCAGTGGGTGAATTTAAATGAACCGGAAGAAGAGGTAAATTACAATTTCAGTTATTATTGGGTATTAGGCTGTAAATGGAAGGAAAAGCCTTTCTTGCACCCGTACCGTGTGGGGTTTCTGGCACTCCTTTTGGAGCATCCTGTGGCATGTCCCGGTGGGTGTCTGTGCATGCAGTGGATTTCTGAGGCTGTTCCTCCCTCTGCAGAAGAAGGCCCCACCCCCACCTCCAACTGCGTTTCCCAAGGCTGTGCAGGCCGCACCCACTGGCCCCGCGGGGGTGAACGTGTTCTCTAGGAGAGCAGGTAAGAGTTCCCTGACGGCAGAGCTCATTTGGATAATTCACAGTCCAAGAGATGCAGGAATTTAGCTATTGTAACAAGTATGAGATGGCATTTGTCACACTGCAGAAGGTGATGTCTGTGTCATGAAGATGAATCCTTGAGGGGGGAAGAGTCCAGTTCTCCAGAGTATCAAATACCCCTCAGCGCACCATCGGTGTTGATGAACTGCAGGCACGGAGTGTCCAATAAGTCAGAAACAGAACTGGAGACATGGGTGGCATGAACCAGGAAACCTGCCCTGGGGGCAAGAAGCCACACAAAGCTGCCCAGCAGCATGGTAGCTCACGCCTGTAATCCTAGCACTTTGGGAGGCTGACGTGGGAGGATCGTTTGAGCTCAGGGGTTCGAGACCAGCCTGAGCAAGAGCAAGACCCCGACTCTGTCTCTACGAAAGAAATTAACTGGACAACTAAAAGTATATATAGGAAAAATTAGCCAGGCATGGTGGCGCATGCCTGTAGTCCCAGCTACTCTGGAGGCTGAGGCAGTAGGATTGCTTGAGTCCAGGAGTTTGAGGTTGCTGTGAGCTAAGCTGACACCATGGCACTCACGCTAGCCCGGGCAACAGAATGAGACTCTGTCTCAAAAAAAAAAAAAAAAGCTGCCCAGCAGAGAGGTGCCCTCTTCATGGTCGGGCCACATGTGGCTCCCAGGGCATCCCGCTTGCTCCTCTTCTGCCACAGTGGAAATGCAGCTGTTGGAAGCTGGAGGTCACTTCCTGTGTGGACCCAAGTTTGCTTCCCCCTCTATGTAGCTGGAACTAGAGCTCGCTACGTTGATGTTCTGAACCCGCATGGGACCCAGCGGAGTGAACCAGCTCTTCCTCCCGCGGACTTTTTTGCTCCACTGGCCCCACTCCCTATTCCTGCTAGCTTCGCACCAAACCCAGGTAGGCGGAGCGAGAGCGAGCCCAGTGGGCCAGTCTTCTGGCTTCTTGGCCTTTGACCCTCTCTCTTTTTGTGGGTCTCTGGCCTAAATCTCCCTTTAAAAGAATGACCTGACCAGCATGCAAAGAACCCACGGTTTGTGCTTTTTTTTTCCAATTCCTTTACCCTTTCCTCTGTGAGTGTACGACGTGAAGCTCTTCTTCTTAGGATGTTTTAAATGAAATCCCAGAGAAGTTCTGGACAGAATGACGGCCTCCTGCACTCTCTCGTTCACAGATGCAGAAGAACCGCAACTTGCAAACGGGGCTGGCGGGGAAGGGCAGGCTCCAGCTGGGGGCCAGGCCAGTCCGGAGGTGAGCGGGTGCGGCAGGAAAGGGGGGAAAGGCACGCAGTGAGGACATGCCTGCCAGTCCTGCCCAAGACAGGCTCCTGCCTTCTGCGGATCGGTCTCCAGTCTGTACACAGATAACGTTCCATCCGAAACGCTGAACACTTGGGTGTGTGCAGACGGGAAGTAGAGTGGAGGTTGCCAGGGGCTGGGGGAGGGGAACAAGGAGTTGCTGTTTAAGGAGTATGTACTTTAGTTGGAGAAGATTAAAAATTGCTGGAGATGGTTGGTAGTGATGGTTGCACAACAAGGGGAATGTACTTAACGCCACTGGACTGTGCACTCAGAAATGGTCACAATGGTAAATTTTATGTGTATTTTACCACAATAAAAAAATTTTATAAGTTACTCTAAGTTAAAAAAAGAAGAAATTATCTACTAGTAATAAAAAATAAAGTGTATCTTCACCTAAAAAAAGCAAACAAAATCCCATGTGAAGTAGAACAGCTCAGACCACAGTCTCTGACGTTGGAGAGGCCTAGGTCTAATCCTGGTCCCCCACTCACGGTAAATGCGCGTTTTGTTTACCGTTTAAAATGTGGGGTGGTCACTAAACCTCTCTAAGCCTCAGTTTCCCCCTCCGTAAAATGTGAATAACAATAGTATGAAATGGCAAAGCTGTTGTGGGGCCTTGAGGACAGTGCAGGACCTAGTAGGTGCTCAGCGCTGAGCTGTTGGGTCGGAGCTTGTAGGACAGCGCGAGTGGGACACCACGGGGAGATGCTTTCTCATGACTTCTCACCACGGAGCACTTTACGTGGAAGCGCGTGTTTGTGACCCGGGAACGGTTCTCTGTTTTTCTGCCTGGTGTGAAAGACTTTAAATTCCCTGAGATTTGGTAGTTGCTGCATTTCTTGTTTTTCTCCGCAGGTTGTAAGTTCTGCAGCACTGCACCCTGGCTCTGAACCCCCAGCCTCCCGAGCAGACTGTTCCCAGGGAGGGGAGGTAAGGAGCGCCCTGCCCGTGGCTTCCCGCAGCTCAGTTTTATTCTCCAAGTGCCTCTTCCTTTAAAAATGGATGATAATGGGCAGGAAAAGTCAGTCTAGAAATGAAAACACGTCAAAGTGTTGTATTCCTAGGAAAAAATTGCGATTGTTTGAGCAAAACTGTTTAGGAGCTCCAAATAGGGACGAGGGGCTTGAGGTGACCATGATAAGTCACCCCTTAACACAGCATGGAATGATCTGGAATTTTGTGATGCCATGAGGTAAAGCTGGCTTAGGGCAAGGGCTGGACAGGTTCCCCCCAGCCCTCCCCCCAAACTAACGGTTATTTCTTAATGACAACGTTACATTAGAGTAGGAATTTTAAGCTAACTCTGGCTTTTTTCCCTTTTGAATTATATCAATTCTAATGGCATCAAAAAGCTTTTGAAATTGAACTGCCAGCTTGGACATGCATGTTGATTTTCCTGTCTGTGTTTTGTGTGTGTTCTTGCTGTTTTGTAGCTTTCGCGCTGTAGTTCAATGAGTTCATTATCACGTGAAGTAAGCCAGCATTTTAATCAGGTACCTGTGGCTGGCGGCTCTCACTCACCTCGAGGATGAGCTGTGTCGCTTTGTTCTTCCTTTAAGAGTGCCGGAGCGGCGCGTCGTGTGTGCTGTGTGGCCACCCCCCCGCCTCGCTGTCCCACGCAAACACCACGTAGCCAAGGATGCAGTGTTCCTTTCTTGAAATGGCCTTAAAGGGATTTTGTTGTTAAATATCCAGATGCCTTGATGATTGAATTAACCCCAAATGCTCATAGTAATGTTGCTCTTTCTCAATTGGTTTTCAAATGAACGGGCTTGGGGTGCAGCCTCGCTGTGTGGGCGTTCCTGGGGCAGGATGCTCTCCTGTGGAAGGAGGGGTTCTTCTTTCTGATCAAGCATGGCAAGGTTTGTTTGAGGCCAGTGAGAGTGGCAGTGACGGCGTCTTGCAGCCAGTCTGGGTGGGGACGAAGGAATACTCCATCTTCCGTGTGTCTTATGGGACTGAGCCGTGTCCAGTGGCTCAGCAGAAAGGCTTGATACAACATTGCTGCCTGCACATGGGAACGCTGGGTTTCAGAACTGGGTACTTGAGGTCTGAAGTAATCAAAAAACCTACTAACTGCTTACACTGACACTAACGTGACGTCCCAGTGCTCTGCCCTCCTTATCTTTGCATGTTCTGGTGTCTAAAGCATTTTACTCTGCATGTTGCTTTTTTCTTTTTTACCATTTTCTATAAACCATTAAATAATTAAATCCAGTATTGCAAGCAGCATCTTTGACCTGCTTCTGTCGCTTATTTGGAAGTGTTACAAATCCTTACTTAGAAACAGGATCTGTGTCTGTGACCGAAGCACCAGCTGGTGTGCAGCACAGCCTTGCTGAGGTGACTTCTCTGTGGTTCTCAGGCTCCTGGCAACCTCCCCTCCGCAGGGGGCACCGTGCCCTTCTACAACCCTGCTCAGATGGCACAGGTGAGTGGCCCTTGTCTTCCTCCACATGTGACACCAGCTCGCTTGCTGACTTCCCGACCCGGTGCTCCGTAAATATCAGCTTCCCTCCCCGACTCCCTTCATAACGGGAATGGTGCATCACCAAGCGACGGCCCACGGGCGTGCTGGGAGAAGCAGCGCCCTCCCCCTGCTCCCACCTCTGCCTCTCCAGAGGCCGTCACTTGGAACTCTTCTAGTCGATCTGGGCACTCAGCCCCCGTCACCTCAGTGACTCCGTCGGGTGCTGCTCCTTGACGTTTGGGCTCGGGGGCCTTCTGGCTTCCCACGGCTCAGGCCCTGCTCTCCTCCCTCACCCTGGGGCAGAGTCGGGATCCTCTGCTGTGGCCTTTCTCGGTCATTCCATTTGTCTTGGCCACACACATCCTCCACTAGCTGCTGCTTTTGTTTTGTGTTTTTGTTTATTTATTTTTTGTTTCCCAGCAGCTTCTTGACAAAAAGGTGCACAGGTGAGTTTGTAGAGACCCTTCCCGTCTGAAAATGTCTTTATCCTACTGGTGTGTTCGGTTGATTGTGTGGCTGGGTAGAGTTCTTGGGCAGAAATCATTTTCTTCAGAACGGAAGGTGGTTGTGCATTTTCTGGTGCCAGCTCTTGCTGGAGTTCCAGGACCATTCTGCATGCTCCTCCCTGCAGGGTCCTCCGTGCTTCTTTCTGGAAGCCTGAAGGGGCTTCTCCATCCTCGGGACTATCTGACTCCCTCAGGGTGTGCCCTCGGCCACCGCTGGCCCGGGTGCACACACTTCAGGTGGGGAATGGTTTTGAATGTTCCCTCTGGTTTGCCTTCCTGAGCCTTCTCTTTCCTCCCTCTGGTTTCTTACCTGTAGAGAACAGACTGGCTGACAGTTTAGAGGAGCTGAGAGGGGGCAGAGGTCTGGGGGTGTCCTGGCACTCAGCCCCCACCGCCATGCCACTGTGCCCGCAGCTGCCTGTGGGTGGCCTCACTCCTCTTGACTGCAGTCCTGTGACGGGCCGCATTCCCTGCCCTGGTCCTCTAGGCTTGCTGCATCCCGGTCTACTGCCTGGCCGGCTCTTGCTTTTCAGCTTCAAGATTTGGTGGTTTTCTTCCCCCCTGTTAACCTTTATCTTACAGTCTGCCTTTACAAAAATCCCTTGGCTTTGACGTCAGGTTTCAAGAGGGAGCAGAGGCTGTACCTGGTGTCCCTGCAGCAGCAGGCCAGGCACAGGCCACCGTCCCTCCCTGGACTCACTGAACACTCAGCGGGCCAGCTCTGCAGAATTGGCCTCAGGTCTAAGAGCCCTGACAGAACCGAGGCACCTCCTGTCCGCTGGGACAGCAGACGCTGCTGGCAGATGAGTCAGCACTTTGAAGGGAGCCTGACTCGGTGGGACTTGTCCGTTCTCCGGGGCTTTCAGGAACAGAAGCACAGCGTTCCACTTGCGACGTCAGCAGCCGGTGTGGCCCTGCTGCATCGTCCCTGGGCGTTGTCCACCCTGGTGGACATGCAGAGGTCAATATTGTTCATTTCTTTTCAGGCCTCCGCCACCTCTGGGAGCTCAAGGCCGGGGAGGATTGGCCAGAGGAAATACCTGGCATTGAACTAGAGCCGTCCCTGTTTGGGGTTTGCATTTGGAACCCTCAGAAGACTGTTCTTCACCAAGAACCCAACTGCCTACCTGTGGCCTCACTCTTGTCCCCAGACAGGGCGGTAACTCAAAGCTGGCCACAGTCTGCAGCTCCCTCCTCACCCCGTCTCGATGAATTATTTCAGAAATTAACCCCACCGTTCCTTTCAGATGCTGGATGGAAAAAGTGAATCTCTGACTCAGAATCTTTCACCAAAAATGATATTACTTAAGTCATTTCAGATGATCTAGGATATGATATTCTCAGTCATTTAAGAATATTCCATTCAGTGAATCTAGAATTCTTTGCTGCAGGAGGGCAATGCATCAGTCACCTGGGGCCTCTCTCAAAACTCAGCTGTGAATTGTTGCCCTGTTAATCCCAGGGCTCCTTTAAGATGTTGGGCGAAAAGAGTTGATGTGTGACTCAAGAGACGGAGACACGGCCACCTGCCCTGCAGCCAGGGGCAGCTCTGCCCTAACCATTTCCGAGCCTGCAAGAACGACCGCAGGAAGATGCGTTCTCAGGCAGCGCCTCAGCGACGCGTGGGATTTGTTTGGCAACAGTTCACAGTTAGGTTTTGAGAGCAGCTCTGGTTACTGAAGCGAATTTCTCTCCTGTAGCAACAGCCTCATTTCAGTTTCTCTGGCCTAATTAGGACCGCGGGTGATTTCATGCACCCAGAAGCCAGGCGCTGCCCCTTCCCCACCGCAAAGTGCAGCTCAGCAGTTAGGAAAGAGGCCCAGAGCGCTGATCTCGGATGCTGCGGGTTCGGAGCGATGGGCCACTGTGAGAACTGTGACCGTAAGAGGCCTGATTTTTATCGCGCACAGAAGTAGTCTGGTGAGTCTCACGTCACGGCCCTGGGTTGGCACACTCTTCGAGGAGCACTGTACCTTCTCAAGAATGGCTTCCATAGTTCCGTCTGGGTGACCGGCTTTCTCTCACCTGGGTGTCATCATTTGAGGATCGGTGACATCGTGAAGAAAGTGGCTTATACAGTTTCTTGCCAGCAGCTGTGGAACCGGAGAGCCCTCCCGCTGCTCCCTGCCGACCTGGCCGTGAGGACCGGCCTGGGGGAGACCTCCGCTCGGCGGGCCCGGAGCTTTAAGGCTTCATCGACTGTTCTGAAAACTGTTCGTGTTCTTGTTAAGACTAAAGAGACTGAAAAAAAGAAAAGATTTAAAATATTTATAAAAATCAGTAGGTGATAATTTCTGTAGGCTCTGCTGGGGGGACATAAGCAGTTAGGTATTTTAAATTTTAAATTTAAGTGTAGAAATTGTAGAATGCGGAATTAGCACAGGCCCTTCCCAGTTTTCTGTTTCACTTGATCATCTCGGAAAGACCCAGACTGTTTTCCAGGACGTTCCACAGGCGTGGCTGACTGGATCCATTTGTTCTTGTCACTTTGAGAAAGGCCTGTCCCCGTGGACAGGCAGCCCTGTGGCCCTCGGTGAGGTCCTGTGGTTCCGGGACCTCCCCCGGCCCTACCCTGCCCGCTGTTCTCTGGTGGACTGCTCACCACTTTTGATTCCAGAAGCTTCCTGCAGGTGGGAGCTGCTATTTTTCCTAAATGCAAATTGTTACACTGCAAATTGTTGAATAAACTATTTTGCGCTCTCAAGCACTCACGTGTGGGTTCCCTTTTGTTTGCTGGAAGCGGAAGAGTGGGGGTGTCCTGCAGGCAGCCTGGCAGACTCCTCTGGGCCTGGCTGGGCTGCCCCTGGGGCGGGGCCGGTTGGCCAGGGTCGGTGGGGGGCGCGCTGCCTGGGGTGAGGGGGACGGGGGCGGGCGCGCTGTCCGGGTTGGGAGCCCCGTCCGGGCTCGGCCGAGCGCGGTCCTCCGGCCGCCAGGGGCCGCTGTGGGCTGGGGCGGGCGGCCGGGCCGGGAGGGCGTGAGCGAGGTGCGGAAGGAGGTGCGCGGGCCGGGGAGCCAGGAGGGAGGTCCGCGGGGCGCGGGC